TACGATGCTTATGTTTATGAGGATATTGTCCCTATATATTACTGCATTGATGGTACGTACATTTATTATGAAAAGCTTGCTCTGCCGTTGATTAAAACGTCTTGAAAGTTACATCCACATTTTGAGGCACATCCTCTCGCATTAGTACTTTGGTACCTCTAAAACAGTGACTTATAAGTTACATGTGTTCTGCGAGGAAACAGTCTTAGTATAATCTTCATAGGAGTAATTGCTTCAAGAACAGTCGTATGAAAGTTTGAATACAATAATTTCTAGATACAAAAATCATGGAGACTCAACCGACAAAGCTAGTCGCAAAATGAAGTAAACAAAAGCTGTGTAGATGGAAACATGGACGTCATTCAAGAACGTAATGAAAAATATAAGAAAAGAGAATTGCTTCGGATTTTGACACCGGAGGCCCTAAAGATCTTTCACACAGATTTTTTAAAAGCTTTCAATTCATTGCTGTTCGAAGCAGTGTTATATGATAGTTGTTCATGATTCTTGAAAAAAAATCAATCTATTGAACCATAAACTCTACTGAATTTACCCCTCGTTTCAAGAAGAAGATGAATCATACATAGATACGACCATAGAAAAAAATAGTAGATCTCATATTCATAAAGAGTTATGGTTTAAAAAAAAAATTTTGTACGACATCTTTTCCCTTATCAAACAAGAAAACAGAAACTAAATTTCTGATAATTGAATAATGGTAAAAAGCTTTTGTTTTTCGTGGTCGTTGTTAGTGTCTTTCAATAAAATGGTTAATTAGGATTTATATTCCACGAAGAATTAGGTATATTTCTGATAAACACGATGATGGATCGATCCCTATAAGGGTGCTGATCGATCGAACCCTATAGGGGTGATCGTCGATCGTGTACCTCTTGAAAATCGGGGCAAGATATTTTTGATGATGTTCGATCATCACCATAGATGCATTTGATCAATTGGGTCTTCATTCCACTACTTGAACCTAGAATGATCATACTTCAGTTAATGGAGCATAAAGTGATATCGCATTATTGGATTTGCATGAATCGACTCGTAGATGTAAGGTAACACTAGCTATTTTATGGTAAAATTTTAGCTGGATCTAATGGTGGGAAAGTCTCCTTCTGAAGTAAAATTTATATGCTCAAAATCGATTTATTATACTTCTTGTTTTGCATACTTTTGGCCCAAATTACTTTAGTTTTATGAGAAGACTTTGAAACTACAATAATATTAATTACACCAATAAAATGTCAGAACTAAATAGGTTTTTTTTATTAAGAACTCATTGAAAATATAGTAAAAAAGGGTAAAATTTGAGATATGTAAAAAAAATGTCATTTTTCATTGGAGATCGAATACATAGTATCTTGAACCTTTTTATTTATTTATTTATCAAAACTGATTTCATTCTTAAACCGAAGGTGAATCGGGAATAACTGAAACATGAGTTAAGGCTGATTTGGCTAGGTTATCAGCCTTAGAGTATTGTAATCTCGAAACATGAACAAAAGTTACATTGAGATCTATTGAAAGCTTTAATGTAGTCCGATTTAGCAATCAAGATTTTTAAGTAGTCACTTACAGCCAACTTATGTTCTTGTTTTCGAGATTTCCTAAAACCGATAAAATGTACTTTGAAACCTGGATGTAAGAATTCTTGTTGCCAAAACCTGGATGTATTTTTTCTTCCACACGATAAAATATATTATTAAAAACTGTTGATTTGCATTCTTTGTTGAAGTTTTTTTGATCAATTTTTTTGAGAAAACATTTGTAAAATTAAAGTCAACGAAAACCTCATTTGGAGAGGAATTTGGATCAAGAAGCTTTTCCACCTCCTCTTGTTTCTACTGAAAAAGTGATGGAAGAGCTGCGTGAGGTCACCATACAATACTGCAATGTTAAGAATCCGATAGAAAGAACATCAAGGGACCCAAGAGTTTTTGATGGAGAAACTCGTGGACTTTTGGAAGAAACTGCAGCAAGTATAGTTGCCGCATCTCTCACAACAAATATGCAAAACAGAATACAGAACCAAGGGGGTCATGAACCAGAAAATAGAGACTTGTCCCCTGATCTACCTCAACTTGAGAACAGTGAGTTACCTTCCATCGTACCTATTGTGAAGAAACGAAGGGGAAGACCTCCACTAAAGAAATGAGCAGGCACTAGTCCAACTCAACTGCAAGGCGCAAGTTCTCGTAAGAGAAATATTCTGCAAGTCCAGAAATCCCAAAAAAGAAAGCCACATCAAGGGGACACTAACTTGGATGAAGATGAGGAAGATAATCGGAACACAATCAATGTACAAATGAGAACAAATATTGCTTCTACGAGTGGTACGACGCCAATGATTAATCTTATTGCGGCTATTAGAAAGAAATCAAGGGATTTTTGGCTTCCCCGTCCTCCTCTTCTGTACCCATAGTGAGTTGGAATTTTTGTGGTTTGGGAAACCCAACAACATTTTGTCGACTGCGTGATATCTAAAATACATACGCTTTAGGTGGTGGAGGACTACCTCTCTTTTGGAAACGAGAGATCGATTTAAAGATTATCTCCATATGCGATAACTTTATGGATTTTGTAATCCAATATAAAAAGAAGAATGTTTTTGCCATGTTCGTGTACGAAATCCAGACAATAAGAAACGAAAAGATATATGGAATTTTCTATCTCATGTTTGGTACTTAACATGAGATTTTAATGAAAATTTTAGACAGCTTGAAAAAGGGGGGGGGGAATCACCAGATCAGAAGGATCTTTGAATGCGACTATACGATCTTCGACATTCATGCAAATTTGTATCATGGAGAGGGTGGAGTGATATAAGATCAGAATCTATATTCACAAGATGATCGAGAGTTTACAAGCTAGACACACG